GTAGGAGTAAGCACCGAACCCGAACTCCCACTGGACACAGATACCAGAGTAGGGTTGGGCGAAGGGGATCGTCCACGTCGTTTTCGTTCCGCAAATGGGGGCGGCGTGGGTTCGTAGTCAGAGTCTGAACAGGCATTAAGTCCAAACTTTCCTTTCCTGTAAATCCCCATATGCTCAGAAGACAGCGACAATGCGTCCAATAGGGCGGGGGTGGAGTGACCTCTGTGAGCCAGAGGTGCCAATGTTGCTGGCGCCATCTTCTCCACTGCGGATTGAGACAGGATTTGCCTCGGGGGGGTAGAAGCCCAACTAGAAGCCTCCATGGTAGCAGAGGGATCGTCTTCCGGGACGGGCACGGTGGACTCTGGGATCACCGCCTGTGAGTCACCAGGAGCCGAAGAGTCGTGGGATGGCGTGAATTCCGAGCCCCCATCGGGATTGTGTCGGTCGAAGAAACCGGTAGTCAAGGCAAGGTCCAGGCCACACTCAGCCAAACAACCCTTACCCACCAGGTAACTACCAACCAAACATTCCACCTCTTTCATCGTGACAAGCTTGGCATTAACAACCACAGCTCTCACACCATCATCAAACGCCTCATTCATAGCGTTGACGCAACCGTAACTATGAGCAAAGGAGAGGAATGCATAGTCCCCCCCAGGTGCACAGTAGGACCGTGTCTTAATTTCGACAAGACCGCGGCGATGTTTCACAGCCTCGTGTGCTGGAACCGGGACGTCGACGACAACCGAGGGCGTACCCAAGGAGAAGGAGGAAGGTTCCGCATCCGTAAGCATGGACGAGGAAACCTCAAACGACAAGGCCGAAGCCTGAGGAGAATGGGAGGGAGACGACATGTCTGCCCGCCCAACTGCACCTGGGATTACCGGGCTTAACCACGGATATCTCGCCCAAAGTGCCTTCGAGGCTAGGTAGCGCACACCAACTCGACCCAAGCGAGGGGAGGAGGGAAGTATCTGCTTCAAATGTGGTGAAACAAATTAACAAACAAAGTGCAAGATAAATAACCGAGCCGAAAAACTTCAAAGAGGTAAAGGAATATCCCTGGCACGTAAGAAAGGGTGTCCGAAGGAGATTACCAGATTGTGTAAAGAAAGTAAAATATAAAGGAGCACACCTCTTTAGACATTAAGGAAATCCTCCATGATCACTAATACAAAAGAAAGTTCTTGGCATCACGCGCAGCCGCGATCCTTCCATTAAGTTCTGCCATCTTCCATCGTGCGGCAACATATCCCATTCATTTATAGAAAGGAAATCCTACTATGCAACAAAGGAAACCACAACCAATATATGCAACCAGAACTCCATACATATTCCATCTCCATAGCCGGGTGGCCATGACAAATACAGGGGATGTCCGATGTCGGGGAGCATGGGTAGTCCATGTATTTTATCACGTGTCTTGCTTAGTCTGGATAATTCATAGTCAGGGCAGGTAATGGCTATAGAAGAACGGCAGGAAGGGAATTTTGATTGAGAGAGAGAAGGGAACAGGTCGGTGGGACCAGGATCGAGAGTGGGCTCGACGGGACACATAGAGGTACCAGCCGTGCTAGTGGGATCACAAACTTCAATAGCATCTAGTGTACTCAATAGATCAAAATCGTAGGCCAATATGACACCATACGATAGTAAATAGAGTATGTGCAGCATATGTCAAGACCAAATTGTAATCCGATGTCGTTACTGAAAGTCCCAGAATAAATAGAGTATGTTCCAATTATAGCAAGAAAATCCTGCTGATATCAATTGAAAGTATGAAATCAAGATAGAAGAGGTGGGTAATATGGGACTCGGGGTACACGGGAGTAGTACTTCAAAGTCATAAGATACAGGAGCAGGGACAGGAACTTAGGAGAAGGAGAGTTCACGAGACATGTGGTTGAAGGCAAGCGATATAGATTAAGTCATCCAAACAGAACTCGCTTTACATGGACAGGATTGGAACATGTGGGGAGGGTTGATGGACGTCACGGTGAGAGGCAGAAGCAGGAGAGATTCTCTGGATGCAAAGCAGGTATGGCCAGATGGCCGGGACACCGGGCAGGACTTTCTGGGGCGTCAGGACACTAGGCAGGAGTGGTAGGAGCATTGGGATGCTCCGGGGAAAGGGCATGCATTGTCAGAACACCCGGAACTGAGCTAGCGAGGGTCACAATGCAGGGGTGTTGGAGTACCACGTATCCAGTAAGCATCAGGATGCAGGAGGGTGGGGATATGAATGTCAGGACGCAACAACGGATTCAGCCGATGTCCTGATTAACAGTTTACGTCCTGTGCGTCCTGTGTGTCAGATGTACAAGACTCACAGGATGCAAGAGTAAATTTTTGCTGATACAACGGTGTATTCAACATCTACCTGGCGCCAATATTGGGGGACCTACAGCCAATTATCGACGTAGTCTTAACCCCCTCCTGGCTGAGCTTTGCTAAAGTGCTAACTTTGATGCCACATTCCTCAGCCATCCTATGGGTACAGCAACCAATCCTCAGTACCCTGATTCTACTTGATGTTGGCTTTCCAATGGTATATTGAACGTTTATCCAGCCTCAATACCCATGGTGTTCTTATCTGGGATGTAGGACATATAGTGTGCTTACGCGTACGGGAGCTTGGAGCTTTTCTTGCTCTACATTGTATTATAGAACCAATATGAATACAAATGATCATTATTTTGACACTTTTACAATATGCATAATGTGTGACTTAGACCACAAGGTCCAGTCCTAGAATTGCATCCTGAAAATTTAGTAGTGCTCACTTGCATCCTGAGAAGAGTTGCTGCATCTGGTTATGTCCAGAGAATTCCGAAAGTTCTCAGTTGCGTTCCAACTTCTGGCACCAAGAACCATTGCATCCTAAGTCACGGTTTGCACCTTTTTATTTTTGCTAATGTAAGATTTTAAAAAAAACCCCATTTTTGAAGAATAGAATAGAATGAAAAGAGAAATAGGTTTACTAGAATAAGGAATTGGACAAGACCTTAGAAGTAAGTAGTTTTTATTGATGTAGCCACTAATAGTTTTGATTCAAATCTAGTAGGTAGAATAGTTAAACTTAGACCTATTGAAGAGCAAGAGGAAAAATAGTTAAACTCCAGCTTTGGGTTAGGATATATTAATATTGGAGTCTATGCTACAATTACAGATAGGAGAAAGACTGAGTTAATTCTTGTAAGAAAGAGGACTAAAGCAGAAAGTACTAGTAAGAGGAATAGACTTGTACTTAATACCTCCTAATAATATTATATAACTAAGCTTTACTAGCTACTATACCTTATTTCCTTTATAAAAGAAATAAATAGAACTCTTAAAACTATCTATATAGCTGCTGATAATATATCATGGTATAATAGAGTAGAAAACAAAAAAAATACAGGAGGATTGTGGATATCAGAGATTGACTAAGCCTCGTGGCTTCCCAGATTATAATTCAGTTGTGAATTCCTGGGCACTTCTTAAAAAACCCTTCAGAAAGCAATTTTCTAAGCTTGAGAGAAGGTCCCATAGTTCTGCTAAGTTGTTTCAGGTAGTTAAGGGGGGAGGTGAGAGCTTATTCCCCAAGAGACATTAAATGGATAGATTGAAAGAATGCCTGAGAGACTTCAGGCTGTAATGGATGCAAATGAAAGCCATACAAAATGGTAGTATTGTTACTTTGCTATTTTTTATCTCTACTATTATCTAGTTTTTAATTGAGTTTATTTTTTATTTTTATTTTCATGGTCAAGATTATTATTTGGGGTGGTGGTATGGTTGCTGGAGACCGTACCAGGACTTATTAGACACGACTGTACAAAGTATGATACAGTAACATAGGCGGGGGGGGGGGTCAACGAACAGAGGGGTTCAACGAACAAACAAAACAAAACCACCATTCGCCAAGACGATTTTAGTGTATTGTTTGTTCCCTGAACCCCCCCTGTTCATTGAGCCCCCGTCCATTTTACATGGCAGCCAGATTCCAGAGTTAAACTACAATACTCCCGGCTGGCTGGTTGGTTGGATGGTTGGTTGAACTAGACCGTGTGAGGGCTCAGCGAGGCGCGGCACGGCTTGGCTCCCTACTGTCGTTGCCTGTACGAGTACAGTAGGCAATCTTTGCTGCCAAATATCGCCAAGCCTCGCTGAGGGTGTCGCCTCGCTGAGCCCTCACACGGTCTAACTATTTACGAGTAAATGTAATACCGGTACTATACTTAATTTATCCATCCCCCGTAGCGAAAAGAAGAGAAAAGAAAAAAAAGGCGAACGGAATAATAATTGTACCGGTTCAAGTACAAGTAAGTACCAGTAAAGTACGAGTACAATCGATCCCGCTTTGATTAAACTTGACGGTAGATCGTCGGGATGAACCAGGTCCGCTTAATTAATCAATCAATTAATTTACCCTAACTTGTGTGACGGTCCGGTACGGTATCGGTACTGTGCCTCGTGTCGTGTGGCCCTGCCGCGGACAAAGATATATTGTGCTTGTGCTTGTATGATATGATTTTTTGTATCATATGATACGGTTGTGTGGTACAAGTACGAGCGGACGGGGCAGGGCAGGGCAGGGCACGGTACCGGTGCTGCACAGTACTCGTACAGTACAAAGCGCATTTCCCGCTCTCTCGACGACATGACTGGCGGGATGAAAACTTGCCGGGGAGGGGGAGGGTAAGTAGGGTGGGCTAGGGTAGGGGGAGTCACTCGTAATATCATACCCGCGCTCGCGGTAGCCGGTCACGCTGCTGGCTTTTTCGCTCTCTCTGCTTTCTGCTCGGCAAGGTGTCCTGCGGTACAGCACTGTATGGTTGCTGCATGTGTGAACCCTGGCATCGGGTAAGGGTGGAAGTGAGGGAGGGAGGGAGGGAGGTCCGTGGTGGACTGTTCGGGGAACGCACTCGGAGCGCACGCCTATTCTGTACTCGAGTATAGTGGCAGGGTGGGGGAGACGGGAGGAGGGGGGTTGTTGATCACAGTTAGGGTTTTGTTTTGTTTTATTGTGCAGCTATTTTGTTGCGTTGCCGGGGATGGGAGGGATAGCTTGACATTTGCGCTGTCGTACGGTACAAGTGGGCTGTTAGGTGTTCCAAGTGCTGTGGTAGCACAGGTAGCGACGACCCTAGCGGTGAGGAATGATGGTCACAGTTGGTGTTTATAAGTTACTTTACTAGTAAAAGTACAGTATAGATTATGTCGGGACATGAAGTACGGTATGATGCTATTATCATAGCTTAAATGGCATTATCATCGCCTACCTGTTGACAAACCTGGAACCCAGCCAACAAGATCAGATCAGACCAGACCAGACCAGACCAGACCAGACCAGACAAGACAAGACAAGACAAGGCAGGATAAGACCAGATGGTTAGAGAAAGAACCAGAACATGGTGCGGGGTATATAAACTATCAGCTAAAAATGATGGCCCCAGGATGAAAAGCAAAAACAAAAGCAAAAAAAAAGTCTATTTCAATGCTACAACACGCTGGACATGAGCTACCAACACCGGCTTGCCAAAAAAAAAAAGCACTAGGGCATAAGAGGGGGAGGGCAAAAATAGGCACGCTAAATAAAGCTAAAAAGAATATATAGGAGAAATTAGAAGGGGGAAAAACACTGGGAAAGAATAGAATGGGTGTGTAAGAAGATGTATTCTATGCGGTGCGAGGAAATTCTAAGTTATTGGTGAATCCGATCAACGGCTACATTACGAACCCAAGTCAACTAGGTTAGGGATCAGCCTCCGCACTCTCCCCCGTCGCCGAGCGGATTAGGTTTAGAATTCGCAAGGGGTGCCTTTATGATACTGGATATGCATTTCCATTCGGGGTTTATTTCTCTTTGGTGTTCGCTCTGGGTGTGATTAACATTGACTATGGTGTAGTGTGGTTTACAGCGATATCGTGATCTCCTTCCCTTGTAATGTCGGGCTTTTGGGAGGGGCTATCGGGACCTAGATATGGTGTCGGTGAGAACTGTGCATAGAAAATAATGAGAATAATGAGTATTATACCATTCGGCTGGCGGTTGTTGTCAGAGTGAGGAATTGGCTATAGACCGGGGGTAGAAGGAGGACTAGTTGCGGGTGAACTGCTGGATTCCGAAGAAGAGAGAGTGGAGGTGGCGCCCGGCGATGAGAATGTGGATTCTCCAGTTTCATACGACGGTGGAGTGAAATCCCAGAGCATCACGGTCTTGTCATCGGATACGCTTACGAAAAAGCAGGGATCGGTCTGACAAAGGTTTAGATCAGCTCAGAACTATCCGCTGTTTCATACATCCACCCCAGCTTCACTAGCTGGCGTCCAATTGGTACTTACTGCTAGACTGTTGACCGCTCCCTGATGAATGAATGGCTCGTGGACTGGTGTCCCATTCTCACCGAATAGCCGCACACTCTGTCTTAGGTTTTAGTACGTGGTCTAGTAAGGATATAACGAGTGATGGGACAAGAACACGTGAGTTGCGCACATTATCAAAAGAACCCGTCAGGAAAAACCCGTCAATAGTGCCCATACATCTCACAGGCTGCGAGTGCGCTCTATCCACAAGTACCTTGGACTTTGGGGTCCAGACCAACCTAGAATTAAAGTTTCCAAGGCTGTACACCGATAGGTCAGGCCAGGCTACGAGTAGGTCCCCTTCATCGCACAGTGGCCGCAGCATACACAAGTAATCAGGATCCAGTCCCGACATATTCCCGGAAGAAGTCTTGATCGTTATATCCTGCGCCTCATACTGCCAGAGGTCCCGCCCGTTATCTTGGTCCATTCTCTTAGGCGTCAATTGGGATACAAGATCGGATGATGTGAAAAGGAAAGGCTTGCGGTAGTGCATAGAAAGGTTGAATTTGGGTTGTCTAATTCCCGCTCGCCTCGGGATCTGGATGGTAAGGAGATGGGTAGGATTGTAACCAGTTATCGAGTCTTCCCCATTGGTGGTGTTGGGGTTCTCTTCAGGGATGCCAATGCTATAGAACACAACTTCGCCCCTATGGCAGCCAACAATGCATGTTTCTCCCTCAAGGATAATGCTGATAACTGGTGATGGAACCTGAAAACTTGATACTAGGGAAAACGCGCGGTTCTCGATGGGGGAGTCTTCGCTGTCCCTACGTGCAATGTGCACGGTCAAGTGCTAGAATAGTGAGCCAATTGATATTAGCGGGGTCTATCTAAAAGTCAAAACACATGCAGGGTGGACCACCCTGGGCGAAATTGAATCAACAGAGGATACATACCCATGTGCCGATAACCAAGTGGTCTCCTTTTACGGCCATAGCTGATATAGCGGGGCTGATGGCAGGAACATCCTCATTAGGCCCTTGGGCTAGACTCAACTCCTTGATCATCTCCTGTGTCCGTGTACTCCAGAAAACAACGCCACCGGACCGATCCCCACTGACAATCAAACCGTACACTTGGTCAATCACGACCGAGAAAATGACGTCGTTATGCTTCATGCAAGCATTGAGGTTCGCCCTCCTGCGAGGAATTCCGGATTTCCACTTGTTCCGCAAGTGCATATCACGCAAAGCTAAATCCCGGAGCGATTTTGGATTGCAAAAGTAGGAAGACGCAGATAGGTGGGGGAATCGCTGAAGCAGCTCCTGGCCAATGTTCGCCCTTGGGGGTATTGGATCCCGTCCGTGTGTAATATTGCTGTATTTCTGGAGAAGATGTGGGATATACAAACTATCGTTGATTCTTGTGTGGGAGCGCCACGCGCGACAAACAGCTGCGCACATGAAAACATCCCGGATTTCCAGTCGCGAGAGTATAAGCCGGGACAACTCTGGAGGAAGGTCAGAGATAAAATCTCTCATCCCGCGTCTCGATTCCGTAACAGAAGCCATTGCAAGTTAATAGGGCTGACCCTTCGCTTTTTGTCTATAATTTCTTGTGTGGAAAATGTGGATTATCTTTTATATATATAAATCCCTCAATGTCTTGACCAGAAGGCAGGCTGTGGGATTATTAAGAGCGTGATCGAGGATCCTGTGTTATCCCAATGTTGACAAGGTTTGAGATCTGAATCGGATGGAAGATATGGTACGGGAAGTGAATGAACAGAACGAGAAGGGAATTGTATAGATAAAAGAAGGATTTTTGAGACCAGTCAAGCGAGAAGGGAAGCTGAAATGAAATGACAATAGGAAAGCAATGCATGGAGACGGAAAAACCAAGATGAATGGGGGCGGATGAGCCAGCTCTAATAAAGAGCAGCCGGAACCGCTGACGAAGGGGCACAGTACCAGCACGAATGTATAAACCGATGGGTAACCCTTTTTAGGATTATCCACAGATGTCGGTTAGAATGGAAGAGGGTGGATATGATAGTGGTAAAGCATTAGGTACGCATGTATGTGGTGGGAAGACAGGTAAGTAAGCTGTGGTAGAGAAAGTGAAGGGCAGAGAATAAAAAGGAAGGGTGGAGGTAGTTCATTCACTTGTATTTTTCTGGAATTCCGGCAAATCTGACCAACAGCCGATAGAGAGTGGGCTTCATCTGGGACAGAATCGCGATGTGAACCTGCAGGTGTGCCACTTGTGCGTGTGTGCGTGTGTTCCTGTCTGTGTGTACTCGAGTACTCTTTCCCCTTTCCCTTCCATTCCTTGCTGTTTTTTTTTGTTTTTTTTCTTTTCTTTTCCGCTGGGAATCATATACTGTGCTTTTTTGGACAATAGCTTGTCTGGCTTGTCTGGGGTAAGGACGGACAGAGGCAGGAGCGGCTAGGATCAATAGAGAAGGGCGTCAGTGATACTGGAGCTTCAGCGTCTGCATCCCGGTAGCATGAAACCACACTTACCCTACTTGTATTCTCACGACAGAGAGAGACATGTGAGGGCAGAAATGACGGTAGTCAAGGAGGGATAGAGCTAGAGATGGGTGGAGTCCGATGGATGGATGGATGGATGGATGGATGGATGGATGGATGGATGGATGGATGGGTGGATGGGTGGATGGGTGGATGGGTAGATGGATGCATCGGAAGCAGGAAAGAGAGGTACCTCAGGGATCAGGAGAGGGTGTGGAGGAGGGGGTAAAAGATGGGGGGGGGAGAGAGGGGGAAGAGGGAGGGATGGGATGGGATGGGATGGGTTAAACGGTGGGCTTGGATTTCCATGCCCGCAGTTTACCGCTTAACTTAGCCCGTAGCGAGATAGAGAACAATTGCCCGGATCAGTGGGAAACACGTAAGGCGAGCCACGATGAGCTGCGCGGGGGGGGGAGGGGGGTCTCGTTCTGTGGCACAAGTACCAGTACGAGTACAATAAATTAGTTTGCAATGATACAATATCCTCTGGATCTCTCCGTTTCTGGGAATGCATCCGCAGTCCTGGGCCCAGACCGCCGTGGTTATACATGGAGCCTCCTCTATTCTAGGCTACTCTACCCTACCCTCCTGTATTCTCTGCTGAACCACGCATTACGGTCCTGTATGCTACCAAACTGTTGTCTCATGATTGCAGTTGACCATGCGTTTGCTGTGCTCACTATTTTATATCAACCCGACTCTTGAAGTCCCACGAAACCAACTGTAGCCTCGAAAACCCCCAAACTCGGGTGGCACCGGTACGGAAAAATGGGGGGGATCCCCCCCCCTGCAGGTGGCTTATCCTCATGGTGTTCTGGACACTTACCTCATCATTCCAGAGCATCAAATGGTGGTGCCCTAACGACACGAGGCAGACTTAAACTACCGGTGCACTGGTAAGATATCATGGCATGATAAGGCTTTCCTCAACGGCTCACTGGCTGGACGGCAGGGGCCACTACCGCAAACATTGGTAGACGGCGGGATAAACACGGCGTTATCCCTTACATAGTGCAACGGAGTTATCAAGGGGAGGAGATATACCGTACGAGTAGCTTCAGGCTCACCCAATGCCGTCTGCGAGCGGTAAAAGTCCGGCTCTGTATCCAAATATAACTTGAAGCCTCCACCTGGGCGTCAAGTGGCATGCGACCCTTGCTGGCTTCGCTAATCACTCGCTCGATCCGCTTGCTGACTTCTCTCTTTTTTTTTTTCCCCTGCCCTTTTTCTACTAAATTCTCCTGCTCCCTCACTCGCATACTGACATTCGATCGGTCGCTCATGTTACTTTCCTTTGGTGTTCGCTCGCACTTTTCTCAACCGAGTGTGCAGGAATTGGGATTCTAAAAGCATATAGTACGGTACACCCGGTCACTCGGATAATCTCTTGCGGAAACATGGGGCGGGGGTAAATCAAAGATTGCGCGAAATCTCCTCTCTTCTCCCTCTTCTCCCTCTTCCTCGGGTAGACGAGAGCTAGATTTTTGATTTTCTTTTAAAAAAAGAATGAGCGAGGAAGCGCGCGACACGAGTTTCCTTTCCTGGTAACTACTCGAGTAACTTGTGGAGGAATAATCCTATCATAGCTACCCGGTCACTTCAACATCCCTTCCCCTGCTTGCTTTCTTGGCTGCCGACTTGTTGATCGCGGGTAGGTGCATGCATTGCACAAGGCGCCGTCTTTCTGTCTCTCTCGCAGTAATCTGCTTCTCCTCCCTCCCTCCACCTTACGAGGGTGATGCATACCCGCCACTATCCCTACAGGCGTAATTCATGTCTCGCTTCCCAGCGTTTGTTTCCTCCACCCTCGGAGTAAAAATAAACACAAGTCGCTAAACCTGCGGATCATGGACTAGTGTATGTGAATTATGTCATCTGTGTCAGCGCCATCGGTAACTCCGGTCTTCTAGAACACTTCCCGCTTGATACGTCCCTGAGCCTACTGAGACAGGGAAGGGCATTCAAGATATAATTAGGAGAGAAAAAAAAGAAGAGAAGGTGGACTTAAGGGAGGAATGAAGGCAGGAGGGGGTGGGTTGGTTAATTGGTCGGCTGGTAGGTTTGTGAGTTGGGGGTGTGGGAGACGGTTGCGATAACATGTTGAGGAGGGCTTTCGTTCCTTGTTAACTGCTCTGGTAATGAGTGGAGTGTCCTTGTATGATCTTCATTTTACGCCGAAAATAGCTTATTTTGAACACTTCCAACTTGCCTGAGTGTAATATAGAACCAATAAAGTCAATACCGCAGTGTAGGCAGTTCCCCAGGCTCACTACGCAAAAATTAGGATTTTTTCCACTGCACTAGGGGAGCCGAGAGCCTAGTGCTTAGTCTAGATAGCCAGTGGGTGCAAAACTCATATAGAAACTTATGTACTGTACCTTTTGCCTACTGTCGTTATTCCTGGAGTTGAGCCCTGGGCACCGCCTAACAAAGCTTGCCACCTATGAATGAGAATATCTAGATGGCTCCAAAGGCACTAGTAAATTTAAATGCATTTTTTATTTTTTTTGGAAAGTGGCAAGGCCGAGACTTGCAAGCTGAAAAACGCTCGTTTTTTTGGTGCAAAAGTGGGGGAGGGGGGAGAGGGCACGGATTTTGTCATCGAGATCGTGCAGGGGAAAGAGCGCTATTGGCCATGTGCCTGACGCTGTCAAAAAAAAAAACTTTTTAGTAATGTACCGTGGCAATGGACGGTATTCGGGCCACGCTTATAGGTATCGCGACTAGCGGGGGAGGGGCTGCGCGTCTCTACTTCCCAGGGGTTTTCAAGGTTGAATAGGTGAATAGCAGTATGATATGTGATATTCTGACATGCATTAGCATGCATTAGTGTACATATTAGTAGCAGCCAATTACAATGACCTGATTCAGGTATTAGTATATTTGAGATCCCCAAAATTGACTATGCAAGTATAACATTAAATTAGTATACAAATTATGACAATGATCACAAAGTGACATCATTATGAAAAGGAATAAAGTAGAGTACCATCCATGAGCAGAATCATGATAGTGCAGAAACAAAACCAACAACATGGTGAATCCTTATACCAAGTATGTAATTTGAATCAAAGCTGAAAGTGAACAACTTATTCAATGGCTTGAAGATCCATCAAATGTGTGAAAGACAAAAAAAGTATCTGGCATCTCTAAAAGAATATCCTTGCTGAGATTGCATAACTGATTCTATTGAAGTCTGCCATCAAAGTTGGTTATAAGTACAACAACCTACTGAAATTGTACAGAGTAGTAGCAAAGCTTAATAACTAAATAAGATGTAGATTTACGGAAGAAGATATGGATCAGGGAAAAAGAAGTTTAAAAGGGATTTATTTTATATTTTATTAATTCTATATATATTTAAAAATGCTAAGCTAAAAAAAAAAAAAAAAAACCGAATAAAAGAAAATACTAACTTAATAAAATAGAGAATGTTTTATCAGATTACCTATACTTCTTTCAACTAAAACACATGCTAGGAGATAGGCCAAATATTTACTTACTAGTATTCTATGATACTAGAGGTGATATAATAGGTACTTCAACTAATATTGAAAACCTATTGGGTCCAACATTTCTATCAAAAGAAAAAAAAGAAAGAAGAAGGAAAGGAAGACAAGTTTGGAGGAAATAATGGAGGGGACAAGAGTTGAAATATCTGTACAAGTAAAGATTTAGGAGAAAAAAGAGAGAAAGAGTGTAGGCTTTGAAGATACAGGGAAGGTGAAGAGAGAAGTATTAGCAGAGAGAATGGTATTAAAAAGGAGTATGAAGAACCAGAAGAATTGTGTAGTGATGATAATGGTATGGGCAATTTGAATGTTAGTAGTCAGATAGTAAGTGTTGGTTCTAGGGAGGATGCAGAGAACTTATAGAAAAGAAGAGAAAGTATAGTGGTGGAAGAAGATAATCAAAGAGAGGAAAATGAGGAAGTAGAAGAGGAAGTTAGTAAAGCAGAAAGAGGAAGAAGTCAGAGTAGAATTGGGGTCAGGATACCGATTGATAGAGAAGTTAGCAATATTGAGAGAGTTGGAAGTAGAGGGAGTAATATATCATAAGAGAAGAGTATAGAACAAGGGCATCAACAAAGAAAAGAGACTTGAAAAAAGATAGAACAAATATCATAGAAATAGGACAGAAAAAAATAGGAACTCATGCCAAGGTTGCAGCTAGGGCGCTGCAACCCCTGAAAATTTGCTGGCTCAGTTTTTGGCGGTACTTATACTGAGTACCCAACAGCTCAATATAACTTTGTAGCTCAATGTAAGATTGTGGCTTAGTATAGAATTGTAGCTCAATGGAAGATTGTGGCTTGATATCTATTTGTGGCATCATATTCTTTTGTTGCTTTTATAAATATTAATTGTTAGTATTAAAAATTAATAATTTTACTATCGAGTCTATTATATATTTATTTTCCATTTCCTGGCTTGTTTCTTAATCCCTGCAACTATCAGCTTAGAAGTTTTGCTTTTATAAGCCTGAATACTCCGTCTTCTTTTAAGCCTTCATCTCATCAAGTAATAGCTTTTACTTAGCCCTTTCTACTCGATTTTTTGCATTTCTTGCCCACTGTAACTGTTTTTCTCCTTTTTCTACATCTAAATCTTCCTGCCTCTTAACCATTTCTCTTGCTTTAGATGCATAAAGTACCCCACCCTTGTGAATCTGCCTATGGCTCTGAGCCCTACATCTAACTTTCTGTACCTTCTCTGCAACATGTGTATGTTCTAAGTACTCCATAGCTAAAGCACCAGATTGTACTTGGGCTAATCCTCCTTGAAGAACCAGCTTAAGCCAGTGGCGAAAACGGGGCTATAAATCTAGTATATCCTGTTGTAGTTCTTGACTTGGACTTTTCAGTACAGGAATCATAAGTGGAACTGTTGTCCCAGTATTATTATTGAATCTGAGTACAGTTGATAGAGGCAGAGGAACTGCGGCCTCACGTAACTTCTGAAGTACTATATCAGGGTTGTAGGTGATAAGGCCACTTGCCCTGAATGCAGATTTAATTGTGGACTGCTTAAATGTTTTTTACCAGATTGAATC